GAGCAGAAGGTGTCCCTGCAGAGCGGAAGGTGTCCCTGCAGAGCGGAAGGTGTCCCTGCAGAGCGGAAGGTGTCCCTGCAGAGCGGAAGGTGTCCCTGCAGAGTAGAAGGTGTCCCTGCAGAGCGACCTGGAGCTCACGTCTTCGCTCTGTTTGCTCCTCAGGCTTTCACTTCGGCCTCTCAGGGTTTCCTCAACTGCCTGGTCTACGGTTGGACCCGCCTGCACCTCCGACGCGCCGGCTTGATGTTTTTCTCTCGAGACGTGGACACCCAGACCCCCCTGCTGCGCTCCCAGCAGAGCAGGAGCTACCACACCCCTCGCACCATCGGCTGAGGGGAGCAGATGAAGTGAAACTGGGGGGGTGGGGGGTTTGCTTTCTCAAAGGGAGTTGGGTTTTTTACTTTCACTTTCCACTGGAGGAGAAAAACCCAGCCAAGACCCCCCCCCCGATCCTGAACCGCTGAGGTGAGAAAAGAGGAAGAGGAAGAGCGGGGGGGAGTTTACCTGGGGAGGAAGAGGAACGAAAAAAAAAAGGATTTGAGAAAGTTTGATTCGGTCGAAGCTCCAAAAACCTGACAGCTGGTTCAGAGGCGCCTCTGGCTGCCAATCTGACAGGAAGTGACATCATCAGTCTGAGCCGAAGTACGGAGAAGATGCTGCTGTTCAGAAGGAGAACGTTTTCTGTTTGGGATGGACTAATAAAAATGCCAAACTTTCGTATCTCAACTTAACCTTTAAATGAAAAAATGAAGCAAAACAAAATGTAAAATAAAACAAATTAAAAATAAATCCAAAATCCCGACAATAATCTGAGGCTGATCCAAAGGCGGCAGCTTGTAAATATTTATTGATCTTTGATTGTTACTGTTATAATCTGTGATGCTTTGTAATTAAACCGTCTTAAAAATGTTTTAGAAGCGTTTTGGTTTTTGATTGAAAGAATCCAGCCTGAAACGATGCGGGGGGGGGGGGGGGGGGATTTACCATTAAGCAATACCAGGCAGTTGCCTAGACCCAAGAGTTGCTGGGGGACCAATAAAACTCTGTTTACATGTATGATTAACCCCTAGAACCCTACGGACCCACCGGCGGGTCCAGCTGCTACGTGACCTCGTAATTTTACCAAACCCCCAGCAAATAAATATGATTCATCTGATTGAGTCCAAATTTGGTATATTTTTACACAACATT